TACCTTTATGTGAATCGGCTTGCTGTAATTTAATTTTTACATTTTTCGATCTTTTTCGTCGGGCTGTGATGACGTCACATACGCGATTTCGTCGACCGCGCTTTTGTGGAACGCGCTTTTGACGGGTCACGGAAATGTTAACCTGTAAGCTCCTGGGAGGCTGGGGGGGGTTGTTCCCCCACACAAGGGACAGCCTCAAAACATTTTGGTGGGTGTATTTGGGGTGCCCTCGATGGGTGCTGCAAAGGCAGCAACTTTTTAGCTACTTCTCTCTTTGCAACGACAGTGGGAGAACTCAGAGGCAGCTGCTGGAACAGAGGACCAAAGGGAAGCAGAAGAGTTTGCCCTTTGAGAGGTAATTTACCTGTTGAAAGAACATTTTCCACAAATCAGGATAATCTCGCAGGATCCACTCTGGGCCAGTCCAACCAGGACGACAGGTTTGGCCTCTGTTCAGATTCATGCTGGTGCCCATCTGCCTCCAAAAAATGGGTGCTTTGGACTATTCTATATCTGTTGTATTTATGTGGCTGGGTGTGGCTTTTTATTGGTTGATTGCGGTGTGGACGGCCAACAATTAAGTCATTAATATTTTTCCTCCAGTCCCCTTGCAACCTTATTCATAGGTTTCTGCTCTCCTCCTCCTCCTCCTTCTATATAAAAGCTTGCAAGGTATTCTCAGGTACCCTGAGATTCCTTCAAGCGAAAGGGGCGGGGCACCCCAAAATTTCCCGGCTGAAGGAACAGCTGGGTTCTCTCGAGAGTGAACCCCACGAACAGCCCAGCAGAAATCTCTCTCCTGCCAAGATCCCCAATCTTGGTGCCCGGTCACATCTTGGCGGGCGAACAATCCCGCTGCGAAGCTCTCCTTGAAGGTCGTCTCAAAGTCGCTGGCCAGAAGGTGGGAGAAGCTTCAGGAATGGAGAAGAGTTTAAAAAACCCGTTGGGTTGGTTTTTCTCTTGCAGGAAACACTATTCCTCTCGCTACAATGACAGGCAATGCCGATCTTCCCCGGATCTGCTAACGGATGTTTCCAAACAGGTACGTCATTTGAGTCGGGGGGGGGATCTGTTGGGGAGGGGTAGAAGGGCTCAAGGGAGCAGCCATCCCCACCCACCCCCATGAGCAAAATAGCATCTTGGTGCACCTTAAAAGTAGAGCCTCCACCCATTTTCCTGGCTTTGGTGTGGTTGAAAGGATGGAGGGAGTGGGATTTGCAGATTCCTCCAGCCCAAAGAAGCTTAACATCAGAGGTGGGATTCAGCTGGTTCTGACTGGTTCTGGCGAACCGGTAGCTAAAATTTTGAGCAGTTTGCAGAACCGGCAAATACCACCTCTATCTGGCTCTGACCCCTTCTATTCTCTGCCTCCCGAGTCCCAGCTGATTGGCTGGGTCTTCTTCTGTTGCCCTGCGGGAAAGCAGGTTAGTGGGATTGGAAGAGAATGGGGATTTCGCAGTATCCTTCCCCTGGAGTGAGGTGGAAAGGGAGTGGGGATTTCGCAGTATCCTTCCCCTGGAGTGGGGTTGGAAGGGAATGGGGATTTCGCAGTATCCTTCCCCTGGAGTGAGGTGGAAAGGGAGTGGGGATTTCGCAGTATCCTTCCCCTGGAGTGGGGTTGGAAGGGAGTGGGGATTTCGCAGTATCCTTCCCCTGGAGTGAGGTGGAAAGGGAGTGGGGAT